TGTCTATTCTAATCACATTACTCAGAGGCATCACTCACTGCTTGCAATCACTACTCCAGGAAATGCCTGCAATGATTTGATAAAATTCCACAAATTCTGAAGAACTGTTTGTACATGTTTGCAGAGCTAGAAAAAGGAACACATTGGGAAATCACATCACCTGGTATCATTGCAGAAGTGAAGCTTCATTATTAGCAAATTAAACCTCCCATTTCAAGCACATCAGCCATTGCCCCAGATGAACCCATTTAGTCAAGGGGATAATAAGGGTTCCGCAACTGCCCTCTAGACCATGGACAAGAAATGAGACAAGGAACCTCAGCCTGTTATGTTCCAAGGCTGCCTGAGTAGCAAGTGTGAACACTGAACAGAGACATATTCAGGCTTGTCACACGGGAGAGAGAAGCACTATAACTCTTTATTGGAAATCATCTGTTTCCACACATGGTCTGCATTGTATACTTACTGAATCAGTAAGTATCCTTCAATAGCACCTTCAAAACACATGGTCTCTACCATCTAGAGGTTAGAAGGGCATTGAAATACCATGCCTCTGCAAGCACACAGCATCCTAACTTGAACTATAACATCATTCCCTCATTGTCACTGGGTCAAAATCCAGGACCTCCCTTCTTAATTTTGTTCATGTAGCTAAATCACATACATGACTGATACCTTTCAAAGAGAATTAGGGATGGGAAAAAAGACTGGCTGACCAGTTAGCCAGGTCCACATCCCACGAATTTAAAAAATCAAACGTGGTTCCACCAAGGCAAACCCAGCACTTCCAAGTACAATACCCAATAAGCAGGCTGCTCAGGAAATAGTACTCAGCTTGTGTTACACAACTTTAAACACAAAACAGATTGACTACCTGTTTAAATTGTTCAATTGAAAACATACTTTTAAACATCAATTTTCTTTTTTTTAAACAAAGCTGCTATCTTAAAGCTTTTGGTCATAAGAAGTGGAGAGAAACATAATTTAAAGTGATAAAAATTTTGAAACTATTTAAATTTGGCAAAAGAAAAGTAATTTTATTTGGAAAGTAAATTCAAAAGAGTTTGACACATTTTTGATCAGAGAAGTTTTAAAACAGGGACAATTATGTGGATTTGAGAATTTTCCAAGGGATGGAGCAAGATAAATTGGAAAGTTAACTCAATCTGCTTTCCAAGTTTACCACAACTTTTGTAACTAAATGTACAGAAACAAGTTAATCCAAAATATAAGTTTAGATATGATTTGGCACTAAGACGTTGGGTTCATAGCTACAGCAATAATGGATTTGTGCTTTTTTTTTTAAAAAAAAAAGAAAAAACATTCCAGACAACATAAGTACCTAACTGCAGGGTTCCAGTAATCTTGAAAATTCAAGAACATTTCTACATCAAATTTAGACTTGGTTTAACCACTCAGACTGTTTCTTACCATTCATTATTTTTCTAGACAAATTCTTACGCGAAAGATGTGGAAATTAATTGTAAACTAGCGTTAAGCACTTCTGTCACTGAATCAATAGGACCATTTAAAACCAAGCCCAAGTATAATTGTTTGAAATTGGAATTGATAAAACACTATTCAAATCAATTTTCTTTCAAGCACTCAAAAGTGAAATTTGTCCTAAATTTAAGTGGATAAACATTTTTTGCTCTTGCCAAGAATTAATAGGAGTACAGTGTAGGTCATTTCTATACATCATGAAATAACAAAACATTTGTTTTGGAAAGAAGTTAATTGAACACCATCAAAACGGCACGGTGGTTCAGTGGTTAGCACTGCGGTCTCACAGCGCCAGGAACCCGGGTTCGATTCCACCCTTAGGTAACTGTCTGTGTGGAGTTTGCACATGCTCACCACGTCTGTGTGGGTCTCCTCCGGGTGCTCCGGTTTCCTCCCACAGTCCAAAGATGTTCAGGTTAGGTGGATTGGCCATGCTGCATTGCCCATAGTGTTCAGGGATGTGTAGGTTAGGTAGATTATAGGGGGACAAGCTGGGTGGGATGTCTGAAGGTCTGTGCGGACTTGCTGGGCTGAAGGGCCTCTTTCCAAACTGTAGGGATTCCATGATTTGTGATGAAAACCAAATCAGCCTCAGCGGTGCAAAAGACAGACATGATTCAATGAGTTACTTCTGGGAAAAATAAAATAACAAAATAAAAAAAAAAGTGCTGCTTAAAAGATCAGGCAAGCAAAATATGTTACCATCTGGAATCAAGTAGGAATGTTTAACTTCTGTTTTGAAATATTATGAAAACAGCTTATTGGATAGCAAAATTTCTCCAGGGATCATGAATAAGATAAGACAATTAGTGGGTGTGAAATAGAAATGTTTGAGGTTAGAAGATTCAGGGGAAAAATGGGAATTGCAATAACTCACTTTGGGTGTAGCTCAATGTAATATCCATTTAGTATTGATCCACATTCTAGTGAAAGTGAGGTTGAAATTAATAAACTGATAGCTTTATTTGATGACGTCTTATCCTTGTCTCTGGACTTAAGTGAAAGTGAATGGTTGTCTGGATACCAGACACATTGCTTACTCTCCTCTGCACAGTCCCAAAGTTCTTGAAAACAGAATTCAATATTTTAATAAGATCACCTGAAAGTCAAGAACATGTGGCATGATACGGCGATACCAGCGTAAGCATATATGTGAATTTGCATGCGTGAAGCAGGCAGCATAAGCTAAGTAAGAAAATGAAAACAAATACTCAAATGATCAAGTTGGACATTTGTAAAGGGACTGACTTGAAGATAATCAAGATAGTATAGATAAGGAGTGAAAATAAAAGGATTTTTGATTGTGGACAATCGAAAATTATGTAGAAATAATACCCAAGAATTATCCACAAATACAGTTGAAAAGGACATTGCTAAAGGCACTTCTACTATTTGATGTGAAGGAAGATGCAGCATTGATTTCTCTTGGATCCATAGAAAAATTACTGGAAAGATTTTTCTAATTATTCACTTCACAACTGAATTTTTCTTCTAGCTCCTGCAATATATTAAAATATGATTGTGGCTGTGTGGGATATTTGTGGGGCCACTTTGGGCGTGCTGCATGTGGTTCTGGTAATCCTTCTTTCATGAGAATGTTGCTAAACTTGGGAGACTGCAGAGCAGACTTGCAGGGAACTTACCAGGACTGGAGGGTTTGAGATCTGGGTGATACAAGCCTGGGCTTTTTTTAAAACCCCTGGTGCATCAGGGGCTCAGGTGTGGCCTTGTGGAGATTTGTAGAATTGCAGGGAATTGGACAGAGTGAGTAACCAGGATCTTTCTCAAAAGGGTAGGGAGTCCAAAACTGGAGAGCGTGGTTTAGGGTGAAGGGGAAATAGTTAAAAAGGATCCGAGTGGTAACTTTTTAACATTGTGTAATGTCTGGTCGGCACAGACGAGTTGGACTGAAGGGTCTGTTTCCTTGCTGTATGACTAACTCAAAAGAGGCCACTGCACAGACAAAGATTGGAGCTCCAATCCTTCCCTTAGAAAAAAATTTCAAGTCTGATGACTCCTGCTGGAAGAGGCTTGCCTTCCTAGGAGCAATTGTTGGAGACTGATGTCTCCCATACTTCATATATTCCTGATACTCAGTTGAAGGAAATAAACAGATTCAGGCCTTACCTAAAACAGATTTATTCATAAAAAATAGAAACATTACAGGAATCTCTCTCCTGACTTCACATCTCCTTTGTGTCAGTAAATGTCTATATGCATTCAAGTAACCATCTGAACCAATGCAATCTGTATGTGGTCAATTTCAACTGATACAACTAAAATCAGCCAGCTTCTCAACTGTACCTCTCCTGATCCTGTTACGAGAGAAATGCAGCACTCACTGACAGTGAAAGCTGCCAATTGCTAAAATTTGTTGCAATCAGTTTACCTCTTAACCCATCTCTGCTGGTGATTCTACAGGTGGGCTCTTAACTGCTGCCTTACTGAGGATTGCACTGGAGAACACATTTGGATCTGAAAGTGGGCCAGGTGGCCAAGTGTTCTCTCTGACTGGAAAATTCTGCCTATGATTGAAAAGGTCAAGTCAAAAAAAAAAGCAGCTTTATGTTAGTACGTCTCAAGCCTGTGTGAAAGGAACATTTCACAATTTAATATTAGACTTCCATGGATGGATAACATTTGAAAAATTAAGAAGTCCTGTTACAGGAATATTCACTGCCCATTTCCATTAACTTACTGAAATTGTTTCAAGATAATTATTACATACTTCGATTGTGAGCACAATAACATTTGTTGCCTAGTTTCACTAAACTTCCTTGAGGAAGTCATTAATTGCCTTGGACCACTGCAATTCTTTTCACGTGGTGAAAGTATATTGCTGTTTAGTGGGCGGTTCAAAAGACTGTAACAGAGTTACAGTGAGGAAATAATATAATTCCAAGTCAGGGTGTTGGGCAACTTGAAAGTTACAACAGACACTGCTCTTGTTCTACATATTTGAAGAAGTCACATTTAAAATTTGTTCCAGTACATTTTGTCAATGGTGGTTGCAGCAGAATGCATGTTTATCATAGCAAGTGTAATGCCAATTAGAGTGCTTTGCCTTGTACATTCTTGAACTGTACAAGAGAAAAGAGCTGCACCCGGAAGTGGAAACTCTCGATTTCTGCCTTGTAGATGTTCAGAAGGCTTGTGAAATCCCGTGTTGCTAGTTACCTAGCCTCTAACCTGTCCTTATTACTAGAGTATTTATTCGGCTGCTCAAGTCTGGTTTCGGGTCAATGGTAACCCGGAATGTCGACAGTGCATAATTCAACGACGGAAATGGGCGTCCTGCAATAGTCTGACAATGGTCCAAACGTAAACACAGGAATAGAAACTTGACGGAGTTCTTTACATTGCCCCTTTTAATAAGACTTAAATCAGCAATTTCTTCTGGTAATAATTCACATTTCAGTACAGTTTCATCAAATACATTTTTAATCAAGTTACATAGTCAACGCCCATGATTATTATACAGAACTACGTCCTATTACCTTATCATGGTAAACATCTGGCTGGGTGTTTGGAGCTGGAAGTGCTGCAGCCACAGAATATCTCCCGACTCCAGAGGTGACCACTGCAACGACCCTGGAAAGCGGACGGACTTTCGAGCACAACATTTTCTCGAGGGGCAAATAAACACTTCACCCGCGTCACAAACAAAAATTTAGTTCTCGTTCCTTCACGACCTCCAACACACACACCCGCCTACCGAAGGCCAAACCCACTCCCAGCTGCTAATCAACTGGGAATTAAAATAACATCGATACAAAGAAAATCCGGACAGGATCTTGGAGGAGGAACGAGAGAAATATTTCTGGAAATAACCTTCAGTCAGAAATCGTGTGACGCCAAGCCATAGTCCAGATCCTTTCCCCTCCTCCCTAGCTTGATACCCTCCCACAAACGGTCATTCGTGACCGTTAACAGCTTTTCTCTATCGACTATTCATATTAACCACACCACCCCACGCCCCCTGTCAATCACAGACGTGAACCGCCCCATTTCCGCTGTCAATCACAG